GAGAGACGATGTTCTCGTGATGTTGTCGCAGCAAGTGCTGCCTCATTTCAGTCGACGTATGTGTACCTTTCTCGAAAGATGGTCCTCAAACAGTGATGAACAAAGAACTCCAGTTTTCGCCAATTTTCCGTGAAAAAAAAAGACTAGCAATCACAAACCTATAGCACTGACGGGACGGAAGCACGGTACACACAACTCTCTGTCGAGATGATGTCGCAGCAGATCCACGTACACTTTTTAAGGATTGATAAACCCAGCGAGCAGCATCAATCTGGAAGAAAATGTCAGACCTGCCCTGTTCATTTAGTAGCGACTTCGCCACAAGGTAGTTGAAACTGTCTACTTCCTCAAGTTGGCAGTCATTAATTCGTAGGGATTCCTTCTCCTGGTTGGGGATGCAGCTTGAAAACAACTTTCGCTTCCTAGCGTTTGTGTATAAGCCGACATAAGAAGTGATCTTATACACCCGTGACCCCATAGACTGTAGCTCATTAAAGCTTGCGGCTATCAAGGCTATATCGCCAAGGTAGTCAAGATCAGCCGCTGGCCGGGTGCAAAGTCAATGCCGTCAGAAGCGAATAAGTTATTTTGAGAATCTAATTAATAGCGTAGTTGAACAGAATGGGCAACAGAATGCAAACTTGTCGAACAGTTGAGACAAGATGATTAGAGCTGGCGCAATACTTAAGCGATACTAGGTCATCAGCATGGCGATGTTTTTTGGCCCACGATCTATGGCCATTTTTTACCATACAGACACATGAGAGAACGAATCAAACGCAGTGGCAAAATCAGCAAAGCAGAAGGCCTTTGGGTGCTATCAGCTATGGCGGACCTCAAGAATGCACCTCAATGCGAAAAACTGGCCAAGAATAAACCCCCAGGTTGAATTTCGGCTTGTTTGAGTCTTGTCCGAGTCACACACACTCTAGGACAAGCTTAGGCGGACAACAGCAACGACCTTCGCAGCAACTTCGATGAGGCCTATGTCGCTGTCGTTTTCGCTCCCCGCCTTATCTCTCTCTTTAAAGGCCAATAAGGGATACGCGAGCCTCGATGCTCAATAACGGCTTCATTCTTCGACGCATGCTCAATTACCTCAGAGAGCCTGTGCACCAATTCGACATAATACTTGTCGATTTTAAGGCGAAAACAATCCCCTCCGGGTGCCTTGCTAGGTGATAGCAATTCCTTTGCGGTACGCAAGATCCAAAGATCCTAGTGGACCTAGGCCCATTTTTTGCCCGGCGCTGTGCGGTCACATACGTGCGCACTGAAAGTGCACGCCCGAACAACTAGCTTTTCTTGGGGAGGGGGGAGCTTTTGTGTATGTTCGGCCGTCGAGCTCGATTTAGGCTTGTATCCTCCCTCAGTGAACGCAGGGAATACGGCCAAGATCTGCATTCACGCAGCACTCGGTCGAAACGTCTAGGGGAAGGTTATCAGGGCTGTTGCACAGCCTTTGTATTACACCGGCGACTTCTCCTTCAGAAGAGGATCATATGACACTGCATACGCTAGAAATAAAAGCCCGAGTCCGGTCACGCAAGAATCTGAGTTTATTCATTTTCCGTGGTCTCAATTCTTTTATCTAGCAGAAACATGGAGGAAATGCCAAGTCGAGAAGGCTGCAAGTGCTGCCTTGGAAGACACTGGGCTGTAGCCGGACTCATGCATTCGCTATAGGCCTCAATACAACAAGGCAAAACTTACTCCATCGGGAACTATCGTGTCAGTTAATGAGACAACAGGGATTCATGTTTCATGTTTCATCAGTAGAGGGTAGGGAACGGATCCGTGGGCAC